CAGAGAAGAGCGCAATGATGGTGCCAACTTGGGCCAGTGAAGCAACGTCCTCCACAACTAGATTGAAGAACAAAACGACAGCAACTTGTCTGTTCCCATTTCCCCAATTCCCCAGCACTGTTCCCATCCCCACAATTCCCCAATAAAAATCTTTAAAAAAAAAAACAGCTGAGTTACGTTTTGCAACATCTCCACTATTCATGTAATAATGAAATACATATGTATAATTTCAATGATTCCACACGCAGTTAAATGCTCTTTAAATTGGCATTTAAAACTGACACTACACAATATAAACATAAATGTACAATTCAAGATAATAATTTACTATTTTAATTTTCCTTTACTTAGAACAACATTAAATAGAAAATAAAAACACCATGACAAGTCGAGGAGACCAAGAAAGGAAAAGTCTTTATATTTTAGTACCTTTAATGGCACTTCCCCCACACCCTGCTTTTTGAACAAGGGGCTCTGCATTTTCATTTTTCACTGAATCCTGCAAAGTATGCAGTTGGCCCTGTTTCTTCTTTTGTTTATTGCAGAGACTGAAAAGCTACAAACTCTAAAAACTAGAGTTCTGCATGCAAAATACATCCCATAAATCAGATGCACTTGCAAAAAAATTTGAATGGAAAAGAGAAACAGAGGCAATTTTCCTGCTCCTATTGGCAGCATTCCACGGGCAGGTAGGGTTGTAGAGATGCCCAGGGTCCATCTCCATCCACCCTTGTGGATGATGTGATGGAGTTGCAGTGGCAAAAGTAGCAGGCTCTTTCTTCCGGGATCTAAGAAGCAGCAAGAGCTGCTGCGGAGGCTCAGTTCCTGCCTTGAGTTCTGAGTCACAGCTCTAGTGGTGAGTTCTTGAACACAATTGCTGCCAGTTCTGAAGTTTTCTAGGAGTCATTCTCGGATTTGCAGTCTAAAGACTGCTCCTCCAAACTTTCCAGCGATTTTATAAAATCTAAAATTCCCAATGTTAAGTCTGTTTTTTCTTCTTAAAATATCTAGAATATGGTTGCTTGATAACCAACTCCCAAAATGTCACACAATGTGCCCCTACCATAATATCCTTAATAATGATGAAATTACGCTCAATTTTTTAAAATACAACATAGAATTTGTAAGTATATATTTACTCATTAAACCCTTTCTTTACTTAAAACAAACAAGCCTGGAGTAGTTTCTTTGACTACACTGATCCATGTCAAACTGTCTCAACTCAGATTCCAGACTTGAAGTTCAGAGAATTTTCAACAGCACTTCATTTTTTTCAAAGCAGTAATTTGAAAACTTTGGGCTCCAATCTGCTCAGGACCTTGTGATAGAGCTTCAGATCCAGGCTTTCATCACTTAATAGAGAAGCTCCAGGCCCAACTTCCCCTCCCTGAAGTTGCTTCTCTCTGAGCAGCCTCTCTTCCCTCTAACTGCACCTCAGCCACATTCTTACTACCCACTGCCCACCTCCTAGGGATTGTTAGTTTCTTTACCCCTCCAGTGGGATGGGACTTCATCATCAACCTTCCCTCTCATCAGCCTGGGTCCTGTCCTCAAAGAGCTAATGGTTAGTTAAGAGACAGAAGAGTAAATAATATTGAGAGCTTTTTATTCCTTGGGCAGCTGTACAAAAACTTCTGCACAGGGGCCACCTTGTGGTGTAAGGCTGAGATCCCTAAGATTATCTTTGAAGATGGTAGATCCTATTAACTGGTGTGCCATTTGTTTGCGTCCAGCAACTTGGCTAAAGCCTCATTTTAGTTTATTCTGCTAGCTTTTTAAAAATTTAATGAAATTATGTCAATGTCAAATAAGACAGTTTTATCTTTCCCTTCCCATTCTTTACACCTAATCTTTCTTTCCTTATCGCATCTGGCCAAAACCTTCAGTACCAACCATGTCATATTGTAGCAATGATAGAAGGAACTTAATAAAGATTAAGTTCCGAATCTTAAAGAGAATGCATCTAAAGTTTTCCATTAAGAATGACATTTGCTGTAGGGTTTTCGTAAACAATATATCAAAACAAAGAAATTACTCTCTTATTACTGACTTGTTGCAATTTTTATTGTATATAGAGGTATTGAGCTTTATCAAGTTTTCCTGAATCTATCAAGATACTATGATTTTCTACTCTTGATGTGGAGAAAATACACTGATAATTTTTTCTAATGTTTAACCATTTCTAAGGTTCGAAATAAATTCTATTTATTCTTGATGTATTTTCTCAATGAGATGGATTTAGATATATTTTAGGACTTCTATATCAGTGTTCATAAATGGAATAACTTTTTTTAAAAGATTTTTATTGGGGAATTGGGGGGATGGGAACAGTGCTGGGGAATTGGGCAAGAGGAACAGACAAGTTGCTGTC